CAACTTTATAATCGATGTCCTGTTTGAGTCTTCTTTACCTGCCTCCAGCGCCGCGGGAGCGAAACACTCCCTGGGCATTCACTCTTTTCTCTTGGATCAGACCGTTCGAACATGCAAACTATTTTAAATGATCTAAATAGCCTTTTGCACGGTTCGGCGTAATCTGCAAACCTGGGTATCGCAAGATGTTACGGTAGACTGAAGGGGATCGAACCAAAACCTTAAGTTTGCAGATCAACGTGGAAGATAAGTTCGCCTATCTGGACAGTTGTTTGGGTCCCGGCGGACTGACCAGAGACAAAATCACTTCCCAAATTAGGAAGGCCAGGGCAGTGTTCCTTAGTTCTCGACATTTGTGGCGCCAATGTGGTTGTCAAAAGTAGTGTACAATATCGCGGTCCGATCTGCTCTACTTTATGGATCAGAACCGTAGCCACTGTATGCAGATATCCAATGACTGTGTCTGACCATCGGTGTCTCCGAATCATTGGGCGAGTTTGGTGGGAATATGAGATCAATAATGCATAGGCTACGTTAGCTAAGCTAGGTAGTTCGTTTGCCAGAGGACCGTTTGTCCCGCAGTGTCCCCTTCTACCGGCCATACGTCAAGATGGATACGACCCGGAAACGCTGGGCCTACAATTTGGCCACGAAGAGTACGAAGACCTTTGCCAGTTAGGTGAGTCGCGCTTCCCAGATGGGAACTCTGGGAGGAGAAAGACCAGTGGTTGGTGATCCTGACAGATATGGCTGTGTCACGCAGTCAGTGGGGATCCTGCATCAAAGGTATTGCATTCTCTGCGTAGCTCCATTTCTGTCTGGCATACGGCAGCAAACATAACCATTTAACTTCAATAAAATAGATGGGTCATCGCCAACAATGCTTGTTGGTGGTGCATATGAACTCACGCTAAACCCATTGAAAAAGTTTAATCATTTGGCGGGCAAGTGGAAGGCAAGCTATTGCGCTGTTTCGCCTATCACCATGGGCCTAAAGCCAGACTGTAGTGAGGTGTATGCTGACGCAAATCGCCGAATGAGTCCTCTCAAATTGACCTCGATTTCAGGCCAGCGAAGACGACAGCGCGCGTACACACCCACCTGGTGGTCAAAACTCATTCCGAACGGGGAAAATACTCCAAGAAACAGGGTAACTACGCGCACTTAATGAAAAGAAAAGTTGGTCGCCGTGAATAATTTATTAGCGTGATCTAATATGAGAATGAACCTCAAGTTATATTTGTAATGCGCTACTCAAGTTAAATTATTTTTCTAATTTTGAGAGGAATATCAGTTAACGAGAAGCTCGTAGGTTTTCTGGTTAGTTCCGGGAGTAACACAGGAGTATCTGAAACGGTAACGCAAGGTATTTCAGGTTCCGAACACGCTTCGTTTAACCTGAATCCCAAAGGAAACGTCAGCACAAAGATAGGCAATGCGTAGACAGCTGCTTTATGGGAAGAAATGCATATTCCGGGCTCAATTTATCGTCCGCAANACTCTGGGAGGAGAAAGACCAGTGGTTGGGGATCCTGACAGATATGGCTGTGTCACGCAATCAGTGGGGATCCTGCATAAAAGATATTGCATTCGCTGCGTAACTCCATTCCTCTCTGGCATACGGCAGCAAACAACCGTTTAACTTCAATAAAATAGATGGGCCATCGCCAACAATGCTTGTTGGTGGTGCATATAAACTCACGCCAACCCGTTGAAAAAGTTTAATCATTTGGCGGGCGAGTGGAGGGCAAGCTATTGCGCTGTTTCGCCTCTCACCATGGGCCTAAAGCATCGATGGGTTACCCAGCCAGATTGTAGTGAGGTGTATGCTGACGCAAATCGCCGAATGAGTCCTCTCAAATTGACCTCGATTTCAGGCCAGCGAAGACGACAGCGCGCGTACACACCCACCTGGTGGTCAAAACTCATTCCGAACGGGGAAAATACTCCAAGAAACAGGGTAACTACGCGCACTTAATGAAAAGAAAAGTTGGTCGCCGTGAATAATTTATTAGCGTGATCTAATATGAGAATGAACCTCAAGTTATATTTGTAATGCGCTACTCAAGTTAAATTATTTTTCTAATTTTGAGAGGAATATCAGTTAACGGGAAGATCGTAGGTTTTCTGGTTAGTTCCGGAAGTAACACAGGAGTAGCTGAAACGGTAGCGCAAGGTATTTCAGGTTCCGAACAAATTCGTCGCTTCGTTTAACCTGAATCCCAAAGGGAAGCACAAAGATAGGCAATGCGTAGACAGCTGCTTTATGGNGCTCCCGGAGCCGTGGAAGATCAAAACCACAAACCTGGTTTAAACCGTTATTTTACCCCTTGTCCAACACATCATGAGGCTTAGTCGATGGCTGGTTCTCCGTCCGTCTTAAAATCCACCCATACTCGTCACATTCTCATCTAGTTTGAAGAAGCATCGATCATATCTCCACTTTGGAACTCCTTCCGAGGACCAATAACGATCGTCTTTTTCGAGGTGAAAGCTGCTTTTGACTCCCTTGGCCACCGGAAACCAAAGCAGTGCCTTGCGATGATGGATGTTCCTTTTAGATCTTTTTCCCTTATAATGTGTGTATATTCCTCCTCCAGCGTGGGTATCTACGGCAGACTCTCTATTGAGTTCTCCACCTCCATTAGTGTCAGGTAAGGGTGCCCTTTGTCAACTTTCCTTTTCAACTTTATAATCGATGTCCTGTTTGAGTCTTCTTTACCTGCCTCCAGCGCCGCGGGAGCGAAACACTCCCTGGGCATTCACTCTTTTCTCTTGGATCAGACCGTTCGAACATGCAAACTATTTTAAATGATCTAAATAGCCTTTTGCACGGTTCGGCGTAATCTGCAAACCTGGGTATCGCAAGATGTTACGGTAGACTGAAGGGGATCGAACCAAAATGTTAAGTTTGCAGATCAATGTAGAAGAGAAGTTCGCCTATCTGGACAGTTGTTTGGATCCCGGCGGACTGACGAGAGACAAAATCGCTTCCCAAATTAGGAAGGCGAGGGCAGTGTTCCTTAGTTCTCGACATTTGTGGCGCCAATGTGGTTGTCAAAAGTAGTGTACAATATCGCGGTCCGATATGCTCTACTTTATGGATCAGAACCGTAGCCACTGTATGCAGATATCAGATGACTGTTTGACCATCGGTGTCTCCGAATCATTGGGTGAGTTTGGTGGGAATATGAGATTAATAATACATAGGCTACGTTAGTTAAGCTCGGTAGTTCGTTTGCCAGAGGACCGTTTGTCCCGCAGAGTCCCCTTCTACCGGCCATACGTCAAGGTGGATACGACCCGGAAACGCTGGGCCTACAATTTGGCCACGAAGAGTACGAAGACCTTTGCCAGTTAGGTGAGTCGCGCTTCCCAGATGGGAACTCTGGGAGGAGAAAGACCAGTGGTTGGGGATCCTGACAGATATGGCTGTGTCACGCAATCAGTGGGGATCCTGCATAAAAGATATTGCATTCGCTGCGTAACTCCATTCCTCTCTGGCATACGGCAGCAAACAACCGTTTAACTTCAATAAAATAGATGGGCCATCGCCAACAATGCTTGTTGGTGGTGCATATAAACTCACGCCAACCCGTTGAAAAAGTTTAATCATTTGGCGGGCGAGTGGAGGGCAAGCTATTGCGCTGTTTCGCCTCTCACCATGGGCCTAAAGCATCGATGGGTTACCCAGCCAGATTGTAGTGAGGTGTATGCTGACGCAAATCGCCGAATGAGTCCTCTCAAATTGACCTCGATTTCAGGCCAGCGAAGACGACAGCGCGCGTACACACCCACCTGGTGGTCAAAACTCATTCCGAACGGGGAAAATACTCCAAGAAACAGGGTAACTACGCGCACTTAATGAAAAGAAAAGTTGGTCGCCGTGAATAATTTATTAGTGTGATCTAATATGAGAATGAACCTCAAGTTATATTTGTAATGCGCTACTCAAGTTAAATTATTTTTCTAATTTTGAGAGGAATATCAGTTAACGGGAAGATCGTAGGTTTTCTGGTTAGTTCCGGAAGTAACACAGGAGTAGCTGAAACGGTAGCGCAAGGTATTTCAGGTTCCGAACAAATTCGTCGCTTCGTTTAACCTGAATCCCAAAGGGAAGCACAAAGATAGGCAATGCGTAGACAGCTGCTTTATGGGAAGAAATGCATATTCCGGGCTCAATTTACCGTCCGCAATCAATTTATCAGCTGTAAACCGTGTACAATAGGCACACTGGTTCCAACTGGTACAGTTCTTGAACACTTGGGAGTAAGAGAGTGTGGGATATACAACCAAGTCTTGGAGGCGATGGCACGTTCAGTTCGTTCGGAAACTCGATGGCTGTGCACTGAAGACGATAGCTTTGATGCAACAGCACCAGACTACGTGAATGGATCCTGAACGGTCCATAGATGAATTGGCTGTTGCAACTCTAGCAAACTGAATACCGAAAATTTGGAACCATTTCATACCACATTATTGGATCAACCTCGGAACACAAACAGTTGTTGCTTCTCGCAGCGAAATCTCTGTCTCCTTCCTACAAAAAGTCCAATCCAGACGAAGGTTATTGTTTGCCTTCCCCAAGGGATGAGTCTTACGATGGCTCGATGAAGAACTCAGTTTTTCCTCCTTATGAAAGACTATTTTGTCCGAATTCACAGCAACCAGCGGGTTGATTTCTTTTGAAGGCTTTTTCGGTCAACGATGACCCCTTGTTGGACCAAGTAATCACTTGGCAGGAATGTGTGAAAGTCGTGGCCGGCTAACTTAGCCACGCTGGATAGAAAGCCCGAGACAGAATATATCAATGGCTGGAAACACTGGAGAACATGGGCTAGTCATGTGTTCGATGAAATTCATGTACCAAGGGCATCCAGAAATTACGTAGCTCCGATCCTATCTATGACAGAAGACAAGTCTGGGTCGGCTGTGGGTAAATTACCTGGAAAACACCGCGCGAATCTGAACGCGTTTCATTGTTTCTGTGACGTAACGCACTACATATAGGTTTGCCGACAACTCTTCGATAGTCCACCAGTGGTTTCGCTTTTCTTAAATTTAATCCGATTAGCTGAGTCCTTGAGGGCGAGATGGCTCAAGGGTACAGGATGGTCCAGTGGTTGGAGTGCAAATTTACTGACCGGAGGTCTTTGGTCTCTGCCTCTCGAATTCCCCTGTCTAGGCTTGGGCAACCTGGCAGTATCCCAGCCCTCGTGTGTCCCTCGGGTGGCATGGCAGCTAGACACCGGAAGGGTGTTACAGCTGAACGGTTATCTATTATGATCTTTGGCGGAGTCCTCGAGTGTATTCAACCTTTGGTTCTACTTGAACGCTAAATTGTACGAACTTGGCGAGGTACGCTCGGTTGCAAATCACGTTGGTGTTAGCGGGACACTCAACTGAATCTTAGCTAAATCTCCAAATGAATCGACAGTGCATTCAGAACAGCTGTTCACTAGTGGTTTTCATTGTTCCGTACCCTTTGAGAAGGATTAAGATCAAAAGAATCCGCGCCACAAAACTTTACTTTTCGATGGGTGTTAACAATTCCGAATAAATTTCCATGAAGGACCGTACCATAGATTAGTCGAAGTGAGCTATTTGGTTAAGTAACGCTTTCTAGGCCCTCTCCGACCAGTTTTGAGGCTGTTTTTGCACAAAGAACGTGTATTTCAGTGTAAAGATGACCACTTGAAGTCAGATAAAGTATGCCCAAAAATCGGTCTCATAAACAAACCACATTCATGATCGATCAATAGAGATAAAGATCAGGTCTTTTGAAATGAAATTACAGAATCAACTCGGTTCCCACTCATCCAACTGCCCGTTGCCGCTCAAGTATCATCGAACAGTAAATCCGAGGGATCCGGTAAACCCAGTCCACGAGCGGCAAATAATTGTGCTCGTCTCTTTGACAAAGCTTTCCGGGCAGCTGTCCTCTCGGCCTGTAGGGCGTAAATTTCTTTCTCCGATACCAGCTCCAACTGCTCCTCGATGTTACAGTTCTCATCCTAAACGAATAAAAAATGAAACAGTAAGGACTACTGTGTAAGATGCTGGCAAAGGTATTTGCTGTTTTTTTGGTATTTACTTTATTCATCTTGGTATTTAGTATTGACTGGTTCGGCAAATTGATTTCGACAACAGTGTGATCCCCACTTTGGTCCACTTCACCTCTAAGCTGTCGTCTTCCATCCAATGTTGTTCAGGTGATAAACGAGGTTAACCTTGAGCGGTTAACCCAAACGTAACAACCACATGTTCTGAACAGTCAATGTTCCTTAGGTGTCACGGCTCCTGATATTTGACCTGTATCGTAGCATGTTACATCAGACCATTGGAACTTTGAAGAGAGTGAACATACACGGGGCGAGATGGCCGAAGTGGTTAGAGCGCGATTTACTAACGTTAACCTTGAGCGGTTAACCCAAACGTAACAACCACATGTTCTGAACAGTCAATGTTCCTTAGGTGTCACGGCTCCTGATGTTTGACCTGTATCGTAGCACGTTACATCAGACCATTGGAACTTTGGAGAGAGTGAACATACACCAGATTTGGTGTCCACAATCCAAGGACCAGACCAACAACAACAAAAAACATGAAAGTGACCATGATCACTCTCGACTGCGGACCGGCAGCCGAACAGAAATGAAAACAAAAGTTTTATTTCACGTCTAGTGCCCTATCTCTACGTATCCGTTCAAAAGAATCCTCGGGCGAGAAGGCACTGTTACATCAACCCCGGGAACTCCACTCTGTATTTGATGTAACTAGCCGACTCCTTCCAACGGAAAATATCGCAGTGCAGAGCGGCTACTGATTTCAGCCTTGGAAAATTGTCTCAGCTACACAGTCCAGATTAGACCTCTCCTCGTCTTTCATCTATTGGTTCAGGGAACACGATATTCCATCCAACTCACTGTTATGAATGTGGCTCGGAGCGTCTTTCTCACCCGCTTTTGTGCCCTTCTGACGCAGGGTCACTGATCAAATGGCCACAAGATTTGATGTCAAAGATAACAATCTACGTCTCACTATATCAGACGTGTAACCTTTATCTTGAGGGGCGCCTCCAGCAGCTACATTCGTCGGGCCTCAGTCGTCTAAGTTTGAGGTCACCTGAGCGTTCAGTCAAATCCACATTTACCTTAGCCTAAACGATGACCGCGGAGATTTTCTCCAGCTGAACCAAGTTATTCACCAGTACACGGTTTCAGCTTGTAGCAAATTGACAAGTATGGCTCCGGCACCATTACAGCTTTGAAAAAATAAGTAAATTATGTTCCGTTAGAGGATGACGTAGGTCATCATAATCCGACCCGTAACTCTGGCGATCAGCGTGTGCCCGCCGTGGTAGACGGCGCAGTTACAGAGAATGCTATCAGATAGATGAGGTACTGTACACCAACACAATTAGTTTATCCGAAATTGAGTACAGCCCTGCTAGATGCACACTGATCTAATTATGCACAATGCGCTTACGATGAGACAGCCTAATTCTCCTATAAGAACATGCGAATTTTACGAGAATTAAGAACACCACATAGCAGCATCATGTGGCATGTAACATTTTCTGGCAAGTAGTATGGGTAGTTTGCTATTAAAAAACAGTGAATCGCCAATAACTCTACCTGCCTTTCGTCTCAATAAGATAGGTATTTGTGCAATCAATAATGAATCAACACGATTGTGCGCGCAAACGAATTCATAGCGTCCACATAGCTCAACTGTGTAAGTGGACGTATTCCTTCGGTGTTTGACACTTTGTATGGCGAGCCAGATTAATCATGTACTGACTTGTCATTACCATGGCAAGACTGTCTCAACGAGTTCTGTGGCAACTTTATTGTAGCTCATTTTGGTTAACGTTCCATACATTGTTAGTGCTTCTTGCTTTTCGAACACGGTTGTCGACATATACATCAAATCAACAAGATTTTCGCTGCGTTTGCTTTGAACATCAAGATTTGTCTAACGTCATTATAGTAGCAACAAAAGAGCTGAGTAAAAAAGAAAAGGCGCGGAATATTTTACGAACAATCCTGGACACTTTCCTTTGCTTTGAACATCAAGATTTGTCTAACGCCATTATAGTAGCAACAAAAGAGCTGAATAAAAAAGAGGCGCGGAATATTTTACGAACAATCTTGGACATTTTCTCGCTTCGTGTTTCTATCTTTGAGCTTTCTTTATTCACCCTAACTGGGAGCCATAATGCCGCACTAAAGAGTCCACCAAACGACTATCATTCATATAGTAAGTCAAAAGCAGTGTGAGCATTCCAACACAAGGCGAAGGTTGGATAAACAACACATGTGTTTCATTGGAAAATCGTGGTTGGTTCCATATTTATCAAACTGGTTGATTTAGTTACATACCTCTCATTATTCAGAGAACAACTAATCCATATACAAAGCAGTGCTTCGACCGTTTTCTCAACTTCAGTTCCTCAGTCTGGATCTCAATCAGTGAGTGGACGCTAAACAGTAGTACCACACGGTTTCGAAACCGAAAGTCGAAAATGGCTGTTAGAATTAGTCGCTATTTCATTTTCAAGGATAACATCCATCTGGTGATCTTTTCTCTCCATGAGTCAAGGGCCGTAAGGAATCAGCTGAGTAGCGGAACTCAGCGCCGTCGGATAACTGAAATCTCATGAATACTGTCAAAAACTCACTGCCTCCACCATCATTCAAATTTTGCAACCCCTCACACGCACAGCTCAAGTGCGCATTTTCAATTACTACAATCAGTAAAATGACACCGACCAACCCCATAACTATTAGAACTTCGACAGGACCTCAAATGAAAATCACCGGATACTTGGGAGGTTCGTCACCTCCGCAATAGGCATGTTAAAACATAATGAATCTTACCACTTCTCCGATGAGAATGATGTTTTCTCCACGGATCATCAAAATCCCTTGAGGGATGTCACAAAACTTTTTGTCCACATGAATTCGTTCAAAAGCTTGATGGAGAACAACGTTCCCTGGAAGAAAACGTCAATGAGATGTTCTGAGGAGTCCGCTCACCAAACTGATCGATAATACGCAGGAATCCAAAATAAACTCGTCCACCATGAAGACACACCATCATCTTTTCTGTATTTCATGCTATAAAGAATTGCACACAAAGATCTTACTTCCAAGATCGTGGAACAAGCTAGCTGATCCAGGATAGTTTCGCTGATGCATGGTAATGGACGAGTAAAAGGTCCAGCTAGAACAGTAAGATGGAGAATTCAGATCCAATCATGGAGAAAAAGTTATTAAACGAGTAGACCTCACAGAAGANTTTATTGTGTCTGCTTACGCCCCAACGGATGGTAGCTCTGAACCTGTCCAAAGCGGTTTCCATGACGCTCTAGGTGCTATTTTACAACGGGCTAAAAGCTCGGACGTCCTCATGGCTGTTGGCCACATGAACGCCCAGGTAAGCGGACCAGGCGCTGCTGAAGCTCAATTAGGTGGCCACTTCGTATTGAACACGAAATGCACGGACAACGCAGAGCGCCTGTCTCAGATCTGTACCGATCACAGGCTGTTCATTGGCAATACTAATTTCCGGAATAGAGGAAACTGTTTGAACAGACGTTCCCCAAAAAAAACACGCCGGAACAAACAGGCCACACTGCCGTCAGTTACGGGTGGGGGTCGTTCAATGCTTGCCGCTCTTTCTGGAATACCTACGTGCACTCCTATCATGTGCTCACCTGTTACTGCTTTCCATTGCGTTGTTCAAGTCCAAGAAGAATGCGCGCACCGGTAGACAGGCCATGACATGGCAAGTTGAAGTGAAAGCAGTTACTGTCTATTGAATGCTGTTTTGTTCACGAACGGCGTTGAATTCCCCAGCCAGTACCCGTCTAGTCTGTTTCCGTCTATCTTGGACGGCCAACTGGAGTGAGTCAACAATAGTGCCCATATTCAAAAAGGGCACTCAGTTAATGTAGTAGCCACAGAGCGTGCACTTTGTACCGACAAACTCCTGGACGTGCAGCCACTGAACACGTCACTTATACTCCTAGGTGTTTTCCATATTCTGAAAGTTGTATAGTGCGACAGATGAGATTAATTCATGAATCTCTGAGGCTCGGGTTGCGGTTGCTAAGCTGAAACACCTATGGCAAAAAAGCGGTATATTCCTTAAACCCAATGGACATATGTATCATGCTAGAGTACGGATTGTTTTGTTGCATGGCTCTGGGACGTGGTCACTGTGAGCAGCCGAAGTGAGACGTCTTCAGGCCTCCACCATCATTCAAATTTTACAACCCCTCACACGCACAGCTCAAGTGCGCATTTTCAATTACCATAATCAGTAAAATGACACCGACAAACCCCATAACTAACAGAACTTCGACAGGACCAAATGAAAATCACTGCATACTTGGGAGGTTCGTCACCTCCGCAATAGGCATGTTAAAACATAATGAATCTTACCACTTCTCCGATGAGAATGATATTTTCTCCACGGATCATCAAAATTCCTTGAGGGATGTCACAAAACTTTTTGTCCACATGAATTCGTTCAAAAGCTTGATGGAGAACAACGTTCCCTGGAAGAAAACGTCAATGAGATGTTCTGAGGAGTCCGCTCACCAAACTGATCGATAATACGCAGGAATCCAAAATAAACTCGTCCACCATGAAGACACACCATCATCTTTTCTGTATTTCAAGCTATAAAGAATTGCACACAAAGATCTTACTTCCAAGATCGTGGAACAAGCTAGCTGATCCAGGATAGTTTCGCTGATGCATGGTAATGGACGAGTAAAAAGTCCAGCTAGAACAGTAAGATGGAGAATTCAGATCCAATCATGGAGAAAAAGTTATTAAACGAGTAGACCGTGTGGCTTGCCACTGACCTGCACAGGAACCGAGGATATCTGGACGGCTATGTCAAGTATTCTGCGCATTCAGTAGACGGCCAGTTGTTGATTAAGTTGGTTGAAAAAACGGAAAACATGATTGCCAGTACTTCATGTCCCAGGTGCAACTTTGACTGTTTTTTCGCCAACTACCGACTTTCTGACAGAGTTCTACCATTCGACTCGGAAACATTGCAGCTGGACATACCAGGGTAAGTGTTGTGTTGAGCCATCGAGTGTATGCGTCTCCCTTTGATTTCATATCCCTTGATAACCACTTTCACGCCGTTCGTTCGGCAGAGTCTGTGAAAGAATCTCGAGAAAGCGAGATCCATTGCACCCTGTTTATTGTGTCTGCTTACGCCCCAACGGATGGTAGCTCTGAACCTGTCCAAAGCGGTTTCCATGACGCTCTAGGTGCTATTTTACAACGGGCTAAAAGCTCGGACGTCCTCATGGCTGTTGGCCACATGAACGCCCAGGTAAGCGGACCAGGCGCTGCTGAAGCTCAATTAGGTGGCCACTTCGTATTGAACACGAAATGCACGGACAACGCAGAGCGCCTGCCTCAGATCTGTACCGATCACAGGCTGTTTATTGGCAATACTAATTTCCGGAATAGAGGAAACTGTTTGAACAGACGTTCCCCAAAAAAAACACGCCGGAACAAACAGGCCACACTGCCGTCAGTTACGGGTGGGGGTCGTTCAATGCTTGCCGCTCTTTCTGGAATACCTACGTGCACTCCTATCATGTGCTCACCTGTTACTGCTTTCCATTGCGTTGTTCAAGTCCAAGAAGAATGCGCGCACCGGTAGACAGGCCATGACATGGCAAGTTGAAGTGAAAGCAGTTACTGTCTATTGAATGCTGTTTTGTTCACGAACGGCGTTGAATTCCCCAGCCAGTACCCGTCTAGTCTGTTTCCGTCTATCTTGGACGGACAACTGGAGTGAGTCAACAATAGTGCCCATATTCAAAAAGGGCACTCTCAGTTAATGTAGTAGCCACAGAGCGTGCACTTTGTACCGACAAACTCCTGGACGTGCAGCCACTGAACACGTCACTTATACTCCTAGGTGTTTTCCATATTCTGAAAGTTGTATAGTGCGACAGATGAGATTAATTCATGAATCTCTGAGGCTCGGGTTGCGGTTGCTAAGCTGAAACACCTATGGCAAAAAAGCGGTATATTCCTTAAACCCAATGGACATATGTATCATGCTAGAGTACGGATTGTTTTGTTGCATGGCTCTGGGACGTGGTCACTGTGAGCAGCCGAAGTGAGACGTCTTCAGGTCTTCAACAACTGCTGTCTCAGAACAATAGGTCATCTAGACTGGCGCCGGGGAATCCGCAATGAGGCAAATAGAAACGGAATGTCCGGTTACGTAAGAGGGAATTCAATAGAATGTGTCCAGCTCCAAAAGCTCCGGTCATCATCATCATCATCGACAGCA